TACTTGGACACCACTAGTAGTCAGGTATTTAATACACACTGTCCTCTCAGCCTAGATAGATATTTTATAAGATTAGATTTGGTTCTTTTGCAATTTTTCAACCAACAATTTTATTTTTTCGTATCTTGGGAGGAGTAGAAAGAAATCATTACTAGTAGAAAGAAATCATTACTGCTTTAACAGAAGTTTAACCATCATAGAGTAAGATGTTTTAACTTATTGGGAGTATTATTTGACTTTTTAATTGTGGATCTTTGACAAATAATAATTTTCATTAACTTGCAAGGCATGCTGATCTTTCGGAAGGATTTCTTAGGCTAGTCAAAAACATACAAACATACACAACTCTAAGTCATACTTCCTACTGACAGAGATTGAGGTGGGTCTCACAAGTTTCATCCTGTGCCCCTTTTGTCAGAGCTCCTTCTTTTACATTGAATCTTATTTTAACCTCTCTCCCCATAACCCCCTTTTAAATTTCTCTTTTCATAATATTATGTATTCTCTGGCCATAATTTGGAATATTTCATTAATGTTGAAAGTTCCATAATTCTAATAGATTGTGGATTTTAGCAGTGGGAAAGGAAATCAGGAATTAGTTTTGATTTTGGAAGAAACAACGTCCTTCCATTTTTAAAATTGAAGTTTTGTGGCAGTTGATTTGTGCTTTCTTATTCTTGGTAGATAAAAAAAGTTATTTTGTTATACTAAATTCAATTATTTCATAAGAAAATATAACACATTAAATATACAAAAATAAGATATGAAGGATTTGGGATTTAAAGTCTCACATGAGTCTATAATCATTATACAGTCTAGTACAAGTGGATTTAATAATTCAGTTTTACTTTTATATTTTTTCCACATGCCTTTAATTTGTCTAGAATTCATTGCTGGAATCCTATTCTGCCAAAGGGCTAGAGAAAATAAATGGCCCTTTCAGTTCCTGCTTTAGTTGAATATTGAGTCATCCCATATTTTTTGTAAATAGACAGTGAAGATTCCAACTTTTGGGAAATGTTCAACTGTTGGTCAAATTTTGACCAACATGTTGTTCTAACATATTTTCCATTATTGAATCATGATTTATACACAATATACTGAAATTATGTTAATATGCCTTTCTCCTAGCTTTTTTCATTCCACATACTGATCTTTTGATGCTATTATAAGGCCATGAAAAAAATTAAATGAAATATTTTTTCAGAGGAACATGAATATGATTATAAAGAACACACATGCCCTTAGTAAAGTAGTCTCCACAATAATATACATGCTTTTGATCATTGATATTTTTCTAATTTGTACAAATTCTATTCTGTTAGACTTTGAAGACATTTCAAAGTCAAACAGTTCAAACAATTCAAACCAAAATAACCTTTACAATAGAATATAAAGAATAAGAAACAAATGACAAAAATGATTTGGTACATAAAATATATATTTTACCTATTCAGAACAATAGCTCCAAGTTCATTGCTTGGCCTGGTTCTTGAGTCTCAGAATGCATGATTAACTTCTCAAATGTTGGTATATATCATCAGCAGCATCCATGATGACATGAGGAGAATGTCACAAATGCCATAATGCAATTGTGTAAAATAATACTTACGTATGACACTAGCACAAGTTTATAAGCTAAAACATTTGCAAACATTGAAAACCAGGTTACAGTTTTGCTTATATGCCCCTGTTACTTTGCATGGATATAAGTCACTCAGCTGCCCAAATTGTAATATAACCTATTGTTATATTATTAAAGATTACAATTGAATTATTGGAAATGGTTCCTGACTTAAACATTCATCAGATACAACATTAGTATTTTAAGAATTCCATATTAAATTACTTTAAACATACTATTTTAAATGAGATATACAATCGTCAAATTATATTCTTCACTTCTGACAAATGTTATATACACTATTCTACATCAAACTGCCTAATATCATGGATTTCTGTATTTTGTGTATATGGGTCTATCCAGTTGTGGGTTTTAAAATTTTTTAGAACCTCTTCTGTAGGTGTGGGAGTGGCTTGCCGGCCATGTGACCGTGTGGGAATGGCTTGCCGGCCATGTGACTGGGTGGGGATGGCTTGCCGGCAATGTTCCCTCTAATTTTTTTTCAGTGTGTGTGGAAAAGTATAGTGTTCGAGTGGCACATTTTCATGCCTGAGCACCTGAATTTTTTTTAGCTATAATTGCCATCAGAGCAGATGTTGGGAGGGGGGCAAGGAGGAAAAGGGTCCCCTCCCTCTCCCTCAGATCCCCAGGAAGGAAGGGAAGGGAGGGGGAGGGAAAGGAAAGAAAATGGGAAACAAGAAAAGGAAAGGAAAAAGGAGAAGAAATAGAAAAGAAGGAAAGGAAAATGGAAAGGAAATGGGAAAGAAGGAAAGGAAAAAGGAAAGGAAAGGAGAAAGGAAAGGAAAAGAGAAAGGAAATGGAAAAGAAGGAATGGAAAAGAAGGAAAGGAAAAGAGAAAGGAAAGGAAAAGAGAAAGGAAAGGAAAAAGGAAAAGAAAGGAGAAAGAAAAGGAAATGGAAAAGAAGGAAAGGCAAAGAGAAAGGAAAGGAAAAAGAAAGGAAGTTAGAAGAAGGACAGAAGGAAAAGGAAAGAGTGGAAAGGATTGGTACTTCTCAAAAATCAAGTCTTAAGATCCCATGGACCTCTTTGGCTCAGGCATTCCAATTCCACGCTGCTTCCCTCTCTCCCCAAAGCGAAGGGATTGCAGAAAAAATGCTGAGCCTAGAACGGGACTTCAGATGAGGCAATGCCTGAGAAACCCCGGATGTGCAGAGAAATGCAGGCTACAACCAGCGATACCGTTTTCCCAGGAACTGACGAAGCCCCAGAGGACCAATGGGAATTCTCCCTTCTGCAACGTCATCGGTCTCTGGGCAGAGTCTTCCTTGATTTCACCAATCACCAGATGGAGGAGAGACTTTGGTGCAGAGAGACAAGGGAGGGAGGGGGGATATTTTTAGTCACATTTAAAGACATTAAAAAACACTGCGCTGCAGTTTGAAACTTGTGCGCAGTGTTTTTCTGTTACCTGTGCGGCCGCGCAGGCGGACAGCTTAGACGGAACGCTGCTTGCCAGACATGTGACTGGCCAATTTGTAAAATGAGATGAAACTCACTTAACAATGATCTTGCTTAGCAACCAAAATGTTGGCTCAGAAACTCTGGCATTTGAAGCACACAAGCCTTAAAGCTATCAAGTTACAAGACCCTTGCACCCTTTACCCTTTAGAAAAAAACCCAGGGGTGTTCAAACTTGACAGCTTTAAGACTTGTGGACTTCAACTCCCAGAATTCTTTCTCTCGCTCTTCATCTTGACGGTGTGCAGAAGTGCAGGGGGAGGAAGCTGGAACCGGTTCTAAAAGGCACTGTAGATTTGTGGAATCTCTTCTATAGAAGAGGTTAGAACTGGCAGGAACCCACCCCTGGTTCTATCTCTCCACACATGTGTGCATATGGACAGTTGCAATGCTGTTGCATCTCTTTTAGTCATTTCTTGGAATATTTTGATTATTTCACTGTAAATGTCATTGTATGCTGTTTAATAATAATATACTTATCTCTCTTTTATAAATGTGGAAGTCATTTGGCTTCAAATGACAGTGGGACAGTTACTCCAGAGTAATGTGCTTTATATTGCAACCTTTGTCCAACTGCCACAACTTTGTAGTACCTGCAATTGTAACTGTATGTTTTACAAAGGATAAGTCTACTTTGAGTGAAAACTAATCAATTGAGGGACCTTAAAAAAACCACAACAATCAAGATTCAAATGTAGTTGTTACAGATACATTAAGCATCTCCCATCCACCATTCTGCCCTACTGTCTGTTTTAGACTCTATAGGAGGTTGCTACAAGGCTAATCAATGTAAAGCATTCTTCATCTATTTTATATGCAATAATTAAAAAGAATAAAGACTCTCTCCATTCAATTTTTTTATGAACGAAAAGCCATACCAGTATATTTTTTGGCAAGAACCAATTCAGTTCAGTGTAAATTTCTTATTTCCTTAATAATAAACACTAATTAAAAGACAGCTGGCCATAAGCAAAGGCAGAACTTCCAAATTGATGCCTTACAAAATGTGGTTAGAAACAGTTCAAAGAACCCCTCTTTATCAAGTGACCGTACCACAAGAAGTAAAACAATCACTTGTTTTATATCACCCAGGTGCAACTGCACCTTACTTTTAAAATTACTTTAACTTGTATGCTGCCCATGTCACCCAGATGTATGGACCTTGCATAATACAAACAGAAAAGAACAAGATCAGTTCTTTTACATAGAATGCTGAATTTTCTGTTTATAAATTTTCCTAGATAGTGGTTCAGATTTTAAATACAAGGCAACTCAAGTCCCATCAACTTAACGGCTGCTGGCAATGTTTTTATTACTAGGAGAAGTAGAGAGAAACTCGCACAATCTGATTTTGATTAATAGTTTTAAACTTAGATGCTGTTTTTCAATCTGTGCAACTGAAATATAAGAATAATTCATTTTGGTCACACTTACCTGTTTATAAAGTGGGTGGAGGGTACATGGAAATTATCCAATTTGAAATCGTGTAATATTTTTTGAAATAATAATAATATGTGACAATAAAGCTTTGACAAAATGCTTTAAAAAAAGAGTCACAGAAAGCTGCAAAGGGGGAGGCAGTTCTGACTTAGACTACAAGGCTCTGATAAATTTATGCTTAATTGTTTGCTGGCAATAGATATTATTCATCTTAAAATATATGCGTTCATGTCTGACATGATGACAAACATCTTTGTGCACAAGAGAAATCAGTTACACAACTTGCCATGATTACCTTCCCCTTGTAAGTATACTGGGAAGAAGAAAGGAATCAACATTATACAGAATGATGGCACAAGCATGAATCAGCATGGCAAGCACACAACCCAACAGACATGGCAGTCAACAAGGGAAAAAGAATAAAATAAATCAATCACAACAGAAATTATTGCTTAACCTGTTTTGTCAGAGTTGGTATTGATGGTATTGGTAGTGATGGAGGTGAAGATAGTCTTTGCGCTGTCCTTGGTAGTTACACATTTCTGCTTATGTTTCATGGCTTCCAGTGCTTTGAGCTTCTTGGCATGTTTAGTGCCTTTGTAGTGGGCCGCAGCCTGGCTCTACAAAGGAGAACAAAATGAACCATGCAATCAGGCTCATTTCTAAAATGGCATTCTCTGTATTAGTACAAATACAGACCACTTTTCAATAATGGGTACCATTTTCCATACCAAGATAATGAGCAATCTGACGTTTTTTCCTAAAATGATCCTTTGGAAACAGTGACATAGGAATATTATAGATTTTATGTAGACTGCATTGCTTTCCTAAGTCAAAAAATACGTTCACTTTAAAAAAATGGCAGTTGAGAATTTTTCCTCTCTGTGGAAAAATGCAATTCATTTTTCTTTGAAACTAGTTTTACTTAGATACACATTAAGTGAAAAATTAATTTCAGCTGCAGCCATGGAAAATGTTTTCCATAGACACCAAGCAAGAAGAGGGGAATTGCAGTTTTTCCTTCCCATTGCAATGGATCTGACAAATTCTTTGTGTTGAAAACTTCTGATGAAATTAAAGTACTACTTGGACTAATTTGTTGAACTTTTGTGTTAATAATAAAATAAAGTGAACACAAATGGCCATTTCAAATGGCAGTAATTAAACAATAGGGTGATCATATATTTTCTTCCTGAAGATTTTAAAATATTTAAAAAAAGAAAAGAACAAAATAAATCTGTCTCTTGTTTATAAGAAAAATAATTGTACAGGTGATCCTCATTTAATAACTTTTCACTCAATGACTGAATTTATGATAGGGTTAAACAAGTGGTAGTTATAATTAGACCCCATATTTATAGTTGTTGCAGCATCCAGCAATCATTTGATTACAATTTACAACCATTTCTTTCCAGCTACCCACAATTAAATCTGAATTTATATTAAGCAATGCTGTGTGCTTCCTCTAGCAGTGCCTGGAGGCTGTTAGGGGCTGGATGGGGAGCAACGGGTTGAAACTGAACCCTGGCAAGACTGAGCGGCTCTGGGTTTGAGGGTCTTTGGCCCATGGAGAATTGCCACCTTTGGTCTTGGATGGGGCGGTACTGCCCCAAACAGACCCTGTGTGTAATCTGGTAGATCTCCTGGACTTGTGCTTTCTGCTCAAAGAGCAGGTGGCAGTCATGGCCAGGAGGGTCTTTGCGCAATTTCAGGTTGTGCACCAGTTATGCCCTTTCCTTGACTGACAATCCTTACTCATGGTCACTCATCCTCTAGTCACTTCTGATCTTGACTATTGCATTGGACTCTACATGGGTGTGCCCTTGAAAAGCATCCAGAGGCTCCAGTTGGTTTAAAATGCAGTGGCCCAGATGGTTTTGTGCAGACCTTGGTGTACACATGTATCACCTCTTATGTGGGAGCCTCATTGGTTGCCAATTTGCTTCTGGGTGCGATTCAAGGTTCGGCTTGTCACCTTTAAAGCCCTTTAAAGCCCCTGGGACCAGGCTATCTGAGGGACCATCTGTTGCCGGTCACATCTACCTGACCCATTAGAGCAAGGAGGCAAAGAATGTTGCAGGTCCCATCCCCTAGGGAGATACACTTGGTGGGACCCAGAAGATGGGCCTTCTTCTGGTGGCTTTCTCTGTCTCTGGAATATCATTCCCCCAGAGATTAGACTGGTCCCGACTCTAACATTCTTTAGGAAAGCATTTGAAGACCCCATTCTGCTAGTGGGCTTGGGGAACCCAGTGCAGGATGGAGCCCATTAAATGGCTTGTGTGATACAGTATGTTTTTGCCATGATAGGGGGCCTATTTTATTATTTATTTTCTTCTATTAGTTTTATTTTTATTGTATAAGCCATGTTGAGTTGCCATGTATGAATAGGCAGCACCATAAATTAATTAATTAAATAAATAAGGAAGCAAGCTGATAGAAAATCTGGAGTCCTAAGGTCACATGAGATCCTTAATGACCTTCACAATCCTTGTTTAACTGTGACTGTTGCAACTGCCATTCCTAAGTAACATGGTCAAATGGTTTTTCAACTTATGACCCCATTGCTTAACAACAGAACTTCCAGTTTCAACAACCTTTGCTAAATAATGACCCTCTGTAAGATTATTCCCAAGACATTTATCATATAAAGCAGCCATCTGTATTCACTTCAGTTCACTATTAGCATTCTAACAGAGCCTCAGCTGGGATTTTAGTTCAATCAGTCAACATTTGCAGTCAGTGGACTAGATCAAGGATTTGCTTAAACCAATAGATACTCTCAACAATGAAAGTGGAAAATGGTGTTTGTAAAATCCACAATTTCCCAGAAGTAATTTGTTTCATCTGGAAGCTACTTCATAACTTAATTATGTTATCCAGAATAAAGGAGATCAGAGGATACAACTGGCTGCAGAGAAGAGGGAATCAACAAGTATTGCCAGCAGAAGCCTTCTATTGGATAAAATTTCTTCCAGGAATGGATAAAGCACTTCCTTTTCCAGCATGTAGTTTTTCATTCAACCCAATTTCTTCTAAAAACCCAGTTAACTAGGTCACATCATTTCAGTAGTATCAACTATTTTACTTCAAGTGATTTTTTTTAAATATGTGTAATCGTAACCTGATTAAATTACCTTTATATGTACAGCATCTACATTAAAATAAAAATCCCCAGTGTTATGCTACATTTTGGAAAGCACCACCGGAAACCCAATGGGACTTTGCTGTTAAGAAGTGGCAAAATTCTGAAGTTAGGAATTATGTTTATGTTATTTTCTTATACATTTTCCTGAGTTGTTGCAGCATTTACTTTATTATCTTCCAGATTAATAAGTGAATGGTTTGTGTATGCATTCAAATGCACAGAATTTAGGTAGCATTGACTGGAATTTTGCATTCATGTGTTGGTCTATTATACACGTCCACAGAAAATTAGAATTATGTCAAAATGATATATTTGTGGTGATATCATGATACATCCCAATTTGTAATCCATGTAAATTACAGGTTTTCTATCATGATGCTATTATCCATTGTTTATGGATCCATTTTGCCTCCTCCCCATCCCCTATCCCATGGATGTTTAAAGGCTTAACACAATTCCTCCCTTCACTCCAATGTGCAGAATGAGAAAACTGAGCTTCTTATTCCATCAATCTAGTGCAGACTTTAAAGACTGCTGAATGCATGGATGATTCCCAATTTTTTGGAGAGGGGTACTAATAATGTTGCTAAGGCCTTGATCCTATATCAGTCTGCAGTATTAACTGCAGAAGTAGAATAGACATATCAAATAGATACCAAGGAATTATTATGAATTATTTCAGCTTAGAACATTCTTACAGAATACTATCTTCAAAGGGAATGTGTCTTCTTAATGATGCATTTGAACTCAGTTTTCTAATATATTATTGCCCACTTGGTACTCTCAAAATTAGTTAGAACTACAACTTCCAGGATTTCCTATCTTTTGGGCAGGTTGATTAGGAATTCTGAGAACTGTAGTTGTAATACATGTGAGTAGTACCAACATGGAAAAGGCTGATCTAACAGCCACAACCTATAAAATAATAAGAGAGTAGTTAATAGTAAGATTTACAGGCAGTAGGGTTACACAAAGCATTCAAGAAAGGCAGTTCTGAAAATGTAGTGGGGTGAATGAAGTGCTACTTGAAATGTTAAAGCAGCCACATTATTTAAAAGCATGCAAGGTTCATCTGAAAAATGTCCTGCTTAAGTTTATGCATGTGCATACCTATCACATCACTTTGCTGATGATCCTAGAAGAAATATTGCATACATAAAGATTGAGAAATTTGGAAAACATCCTTCAAAGTAACTAGACAAATCTTGCAAAAGCCAGGTGTATTAATGAATCAAAGATGATGCTTCATTCATGTCAACATGCTTTGCAAAGCATCTTGTCTAAATGTTTTTCAGAGTCCTAATAAATAGTCTCCACTACATTTGTACATTTCTAAAAAGCTGAAGCCTATCAACCTTTATTAACATTAACATGAGTTTGGAATTATACTATAATAACTGAGCTTTTCCACCTACATAATTGCTCTATTAATAGCTTTATTAATAGTTGGGATACAAGTAAGTTAAAGAAACTAATCTGTAAGTCCAAATTGAAATATATGGTATATATCTGTGGCATATATGCCAAAACAACATTTTACCATAATATTTAATTTTGCTAATAGATAAGAGAACTCACTATGTCTGGGCATACATGACTGCAAAATTTATGCTATCTGTAATAGAAAACTATTTATTATATTGATAGCTACAGTACTTATATAAATTTCCCTTTCTCTAAATCAGTTTTGGATTTGTTGTAAGTACCTATATTGAAAGAACACTGGACAGTGAAGATAATCATTAGAAACAATTCAAACATAGCACAGTCATGCACCTTTACAATTTTCATACAAGACAAAACATTATGAGACATATTATAAGCCAAATGTGAACATATAAATGTTAATTACTATTAAATTGAAAAAACAATGTTAAGGAAGGATGGCATAAATAAAATGACAGCATCTCTTGCACATTTATGTCATCATTGCCATGTGTATTTTGTGCTTTACCAATATATTAAAAATTGCTTTTGGGGGGACATTTTTATAATATTTATTGGCTCAGAATTTATATAAAAATATATTTGCCATTGCTAATTTGAAGCCTTCAACCTTATACAGAAATTATATCCACTATCTTTTATTGAGAAGAGCAATCAAATAAAGTAATTATTTATTTAAAAGATTTCTACAGCTGCTCTTCCTATGCAGCACAACTCTGGCCAGCTTTCAAAACCAATAACAATGGGGAAAATACAACATAATCAGAAATATTCCTGGTGCTCCTCAAATGACAATTCCCACCACCTTAATAGTTACTTTTTTGTGACACAGTATCACTCTACCCCAGTGTTTGTGGGAAATATAGTTCTTTAAGATCTCTGGAAAGCTAGGAGGGTTGTGGCCAATGAATTTTCAGGATATTTTAAATTAATGTGTAAAGGTAAATTACAATGAACTAAATTAGAATTCCATCCCTCCCATATATAAAGTCAAGATATCTGAGTGAAATGGTAGATTATAAACAG